GACGGATATACTCACGCACAAATGCCTTTTTTTGGTGAACAGAGCGACTTGCAGGAATAAAGGCAGGTAAACTGCCCGAACCGTGAGACGATGGCGACACAGACTCTTTTTCGGTTGCAAAGCGTTGACGAGGCGTCGGTGCATTGCTAGGCGAAGCGCTCCCCTCAGAAACAGCAGCAAAACGCTGCAACTGAGGAATGCTGACTCGTAAATAGGAACGCCTCAACAATGCAAACAATCAACTTGGCTCTTAGTAGAACGAGTGTCCAAACTGGCAGGTTGGCTGAATGTGCCATAGGCAGCAGCTATATTTCCTTTACTGCAAGGCCTTTCCTGTGTCAAAATATAGGCTTCTGACCACTTTCTACTGCTGCTGCGGCAGGCTTCCCAGCGGCCGTGCAGGCGTGTGATTCCCTGCATGCGAGTGCGCAACCCCTAGGGAGCCAGGGCGTTTAGGAATTGACTCAAGCAGCACAGAAAGATAGTTAGCATAGTTAGCAAAAACGCCGAGGGGGCTCACTGTGTTGCTGCTGATGGTAACAATCACGCTACACGCGTTACGCAAGTGGAGCGCCATANGAGGGGGCTCACTGTGTTGCTGCTGATGGTAACAATCACGCTACACGCGTTACGCAAGTGGAGCGCCATACGCATCTTAAAAGTGCATAGCACAGCGCAGTATGCTGCCCGTCGTCTTGTATCGAATGCCTTGCATCATTTCAAGGCCTAAATCATATTCCAGTGACTTCTCTTGCTTCTTGAATCTGCCGTGGGTGCACTGTACGCGTTTGCCCTTGTTAATCTTGCAGGTAAAGGACCCATCGCTGCAGCAACCTTCAAGACTTTTGCAGCAGCAGCCGCAGCAGCAATTGCTAGTAGTAGCCAGCCGACGCACTTGCGGAAGAAGAGCCTTATTATTGCATTAAAAGCAGTACGCTTCGCAAGCGCATCTGTTTTCATGCAGTCAGTAATAGAAGTATCCTTGAGGCTTAACGCCTTAAAGGCTAGCACAATGCTCGTGAGCTCACGTTTCTACCAGCGAGCACGCTGCTGCTCCAGCCGCTGTCTGAGTTGTTTATGCCGGTGCTGGTACCGGGACGTCACTGCGCTGAGGACCGACACAATTGCTCCTCTTCGAAAAAAAAGAGGCTACAGCGCGGAGGTGCTGTTCTTTATTGAGGCTGCTCAAA